ACACAATCCATGCACATGACAGGGGCAGGCACATGTGAGCAGTGGGTGACCTTTTGACATGCGCTCTCGAAATACATTTCGAGTGGAGCACACAAACACATGGCCACTTTTCGCTCCCCTCCTATCCTCCTCTATATATTTACTGATGTATAGACTTTGTGCATTATATGGCCGAAACGAACCCTTAACTGTCTTTGGGGGCTTGCATGTCAAGGAGCATATTCCCTGGCTACAATGCAATTCCAAAATGGACAGACACAATAATTGCCTTAACATATAATTGATTCGGGGGAAAGATATATACATCCATAGGCATAGATTTATTTTTTTCACTTTTATTGAAAAATGTAAAATATATGCATATGCGAAAGTGAAAAAATGAAGTTCTTTGCTCTTTATATTTCCAAAAACTCTTCAAGATTCTGTTGTCAAAGTTCTTTAATCCATTACAATGTACGACGGAATATGTGAAATTAAAAAGTACAAAGTTAAGGCCCTACAGAAAACCAAATGAATCACTTTTACTTCCTCCGAATGAATCCATCAAACAGGAAAGAGCCCTCCGTCTCATCAAGCATATTGGGTTGACAAAGTTGTTAACTACGAGAACTTTTTGTGGCTCCTGCTGTGGTACGAGTATCTCGTGGTGATGGGATACATTTTCCATGCCATTTTCCAGCAGCAGCCACGGCCAAAGCTGCAGCTCCATTTTCACAATGAATCATCGAGCTAAAAACAACAGCACCGAAGAGCCAACTTTTTCTATGCAACCGGAGAGAGACCGCCAGAGGACCGAGCGAGAGTGGTTGGAGAAGCAGGAGCTGCCGGTCGCGTGTTCGTCAGTTTAACCAGCATGACATGGCCCGGTCCATTGCGGTCCTGGTCTCTGGCATTTTAGCACTTATTCATAAAGTCCTTGCCAGTCGCCCGGCCACGCAAAACAAAAGGCGCAGAAAACCCCCTCCAAGAAGAAGAATTACTAAAAATTTATCAATGTAAAAGTTTTGTTGGCGAGAGAGCAGGAAACAAGCAACAATGTAAATTATATGCCAGTTGGTTTTACCATTTTAGAGGGAATCTCGGGTCCAATGGTGGGAGAGTGGCTTTCCCTTTGTCTGGGAATAGGAGCAGTCCGCAGATACGTTTCGTTATGTGTTAGTTTACATCTGCATATATGTACATATGTACATACATATGTGCATATGCTTTGGAGCATGAAAAAGTCCTTGGAATCTAGTATATTATGCATTTGAGTGCATCCACGGGCGGCATGCTGTAAGTTTTCATGTTTCAGACAACTGAAAAAGCTGTTAAATGCGTGGCATTTTCGAGAGTGAACTGAAAATTGGAAAATGGAAAACAAATGAGTATTTCAAGTGGAGAAAGTAAGTAGAAATAAATCCTAACAGAGCTTTAACTCCTCAAAGGGACACCCTGATTTTCATTCAATTTATTTATGAACAATATATTTATTATGTAAAAAGAAATTTAAAAATTCTACTTGACATTTACATCGATTAAAATGAATTAAAATTATAAATTCCGAATTTTTATGAAAATATTCACACAAACCTTACGGACCCAGACGCCACAGTTCCATCTAAAACTTTTACAGATTCTCACCACATCTCCGCCCCCCACCCATGCTGCCCAACCCCCTCCGAGCAGTATTCCCCTTCGGGCCACCTACTTTCAATGAACTGTCCAAAGCAGCAGCATCAACCGAACAGGGCTAAAAAAAAATGGCCAACATTATGCGGAGAGCAGCTAAGAGGAGCAGGAGGACAGAAGAATGGTGTAAAGGAGGTGAGGCCGTGTGGCAGAGGCTGTGGCAGTGGCAGCGAGTGCAAAAAGGCTCTCAAATGGGGTTGTCAGTATTTAACCCAAAGGGGTTGGAGGTGCCGCCCGACTGCGCGAACTCCGAGCAGTCTCTGGTCTCTGGTCTCTGGCCGCTGCCGCACACAACAATGTAATGGGTGGCACTGCTGCTGTCGGTTCTGTTTGGGGCTGGTGGGAGACAGAGAGAGGATCTGAGTAACATACGAGGCACCAACAAGAGGTGCCGAGAACCACGAGATTAGGTTCACAGGCAACGGAGGAGCAGACGCCTGCAGGATGTTGCAGAGAGAGGAGCATGGACCCCACATATAACTCATGGAAAATGCGCGTACGGGAGCGGGACATGTCATCTATCCAATTGAATTAGACTCCGAGTGGGGGCCAGAGAGAGACATCTAGAGACATCGAGCGGTGTTAATAAAAAGCAAATACTCTTACAATTTTTTCTAACCATTTTTTGTATATTTTTATAAGAAAACAGCACAAATTCCGATACAGTTAATGATAAGGTAGGAAAAACAGCCACGCGATAGAGACAGGAAGGGCGACTGAAAGCAAGAGAGAGATGCAGCTACAAAGGCAGAGCGAGAAGGCTGCAGCGCAGAGTAGAGGCGTTGCCAGATTCCACTTGGAGTGAAAGTGCGCCTGTATGAGTGAGAGAGAGAGAGAGAGAGCAAAACTGAACGAAACTCTGAGACTTTTGAGTGGAATCCAATTGGAAGTGAGTCTCTCTATGGGAGCAGAGAAGTCGCCACCCCGGCCAGGGAGGCTCGTACCGACTCTGGGACCACGACCACCGCATATCGTTCATCATCCAATTGAACGTTTGCACTGTGCTCTGGCCTTCCTACCCTCCAGACACCAGAGGGCGCCAGCGGTCGCCCGTTACGCCCTTTCCCTGGATGGGGGATGTATCTTTCAGGATGGGGAGTGGGTTGCTGTTGGGGTGTGAGAAGGCTTCTGTGGCTGGGGCTGCAGATGGGCTCTGCTCTGTGGATGGGTTCGCTGTGGATGGTTTTCTGAGGTTCCGAGGAGTGCAAAGTGCTGTGGCCACAATTTGGCCCTTTGGACTGCCACTGCAACTTTTTTGAAAAACTTTTGCCGCCTGCGACACTTTTCCAATAGCCATTTCGCGCTCTCTTTCGCACGTATCTCTGCATCTCTTTCTTGTGAAAAATGAAGTGTCGACACCGTTGCGTGGCTGACGGCGATTTCTAGTGCACTTTTCCCTTGGCAATTTTCACTCTTTCTTCCATTCATTGCGTGCAAATAGCTGACCATAAAATGCTAATTTCAATTGAATGCTGAATCCGACGGGCTATGAGTATTCCTGCTTTTTCTGACTGTGAAGTCTCGTATTCTGCTTCAAACGAAACGATGACGTGTGGGCAGGAAATAATATGCAACAAATGGACATATCAAGTTACTTCAGAGGTGTCCTCGTTAAAATAGAATTCAATTATACTCGTACATAGTTATGATTTCATGTTTTGGCACTTCCCAAACGTGTACTACCCCCAGACACGTAAACACCTTCCAATGGAGGAGACTGGGGCCTCTGCCTGATCCAATTAGCCAAGAAACATTATAATTACATTACGGCAGTCAATGGGCTTCAGTTGTAAAGTTATATTAGGGGTCGCTCCATAGGTACATTGAGCGTTAATAATACGATATCTGTTGCTGGTTCTAAGTAGTTATAGGTGGATTGAGGGCGCCACTAAATTATGTTACAATCGAGTACGAGTAAACAGTAGAAAACGCGAATTGGTGCTGTCCATTACGATAATTGATATCTCTTTTTAATATCCATTTAATTGAAAGTTATCCAAAGATAACTAAATTGAACTTCTATGCATATTCAGTGTGCACAATTAGCATGTTAAATATGTCATAAAGAACGCGGGGGCTTTCTGGAAAGTATTCCACGGAAGCAGATGAACATTTAGAATTTATACAGTTGTCAGGTAATTAATTGAACAAAGATAAAAAACTGGTATTCCAATAAAAAGTTGGCTTGAATTAGTTATATTGGGGCTCTTAGCATTCTATTAATTTGTATGATATCATTAATTCGAATAAGATGTATCTTTCGATGAAGGGTTAAACACATTAACTTGCTTAAAATATTCATTGACATTTTCAAAGATCACGCAATAAAAGTTTGGCCAGTCTATATTTCAAGCTTGCCATAAAATAAAGCCATAAATGTTTTGAATAATTCTAATTGGAAAACACGTGCAAGGCAGTACTGCCTCTGTCCACTGTTTCAAGGACCTTCACTTGTTTATATAAACCCATCTATGTAAATCCTATTGTCCAACAGGCATAATCCTACAATCTTTGTGGCCGAAACTTATCTCAGTTGTCTTTCGCTTAGCAACCAATAGAAATGTACCTTTAAAGCAAACATATCGGCCATTATTCCTATGCAAAACTCTTCTAAACAGATAAGAAAGCCCACTTAAAGCACCTACCAAAATTTGTGAAAAATGTAGAACGCACTTAAAGCCAACCAACCAGAGAGGAAAGAACTGCTCGGAAGATTCCAAAGCGAATTTCGGGGAGGAGACTGCGTCTCATTTTAAAGTTAACAAAAAGTCGGATGTGTAGAAAAACGACACAGAGGAGCAGCAGATAAAGAACCTTAACGGTAAAGTACGAGTATCTAACAGATGCGTCCAACAACAACAGCAGCAGACTAATAAGCAGAGAGAAGCAGAAGCAAAAGCAGAGATACAGCCGCAGAACCAGCGGCAAACGAGTTCTTTCTTGTTGGAACCGAACCCGCTCTGCTCTGAGCGTTTTGCACTCAACGAAAGTCGAAAGAGAGCGCCCCACACCATACCAGAGTACGGGTACCACATGGTGGTGGTGCTGTAGAGTGGTGGTGGTAGTGAGGAGAGCATTGGTATGCTAGTGGTAGTGGTGGTGGCAAATCAGCCAAACGCGTTGAAGGTCTTGCCCCGCCACCAGAGAGCAGACCGGAGCACACACTGGGAGTGCGACCGAGAACGGAGATTTCCACTCAACTGGCGCCGTGCCATTGGAAAGGCGAGAGTGCAACAAGAGCGGCAATAGTATGCGGTATCTGTATGGTGGTGTGGAATGAGAGAGATTTGTGTGATGTGTCGTTAGGTCGAAACGGTCGAGTCGAGTCGGGTCGGGTCGTGTACCTTTTGCCACAAATGTTTTGCCAGTCAGGCTAAACTGACTGAGATTTTGCTGCTCCGCATGAGGCGCAATTCTATCGAAGATACTGAAAGATACTAGTGGAAAAAGTACTTGAGAGATGAATCTTTAAAGTTCAGCACTTTTCGAAATTCGTATTACTTCGTGTGTGTGCAACAGCGAGAGAAAAAAATTCCAAAAGAAAATCATAATAAATATTGGAAAAACCACCAAGTGTCAACTGAGTGAAGCGTGAAAAATGTTCCAAGAATATAATCACAGAAATTTGAAATAAATTTCCTACAAAATATTTGTATCTGAAACGAGTCGCAGCCGCAAGGAAATTAAACGAAAATTCAAATAAAAGATCAATTCAAAGAGAGATTTCAATCCGAGTCGATCGTCGTGCGAGAGAGTGCGTGCAAAGTGTATTCCAGCAATTATCCCACGTGTTCCGATCCGGCCGCCAAAATTATTACGCACAATTCCCTGAGCGTGTACGGTGGCGGCGTCATGTGCGCCTCCCCGTCCACGGCTCCCGGTTTCTTCAACCCGCGGCCCCAGTCCGGCGCCGAACTCTCGGCCTTCGATCTGGGACTCTCCCGGTCGATGGGACTGGGCGTGCCGCCACATACGCCCTGGCACGACCCCAATCTGGGCAGCCACCTCCATGCCACATCGGCGGGTCCGGGCGGTTCGCTGGCCGGCACCACAGGCACCAGCACCGGCGGCGGTGGCACCACACCAAGCAGTGTCGCCAGCCAACAGTCGGCGGTGATCAAGCAGGATCTGTCCGGCCTGTCCGCATCCACGGCGAACCACAACCAAAGCTCCCATCACGGCATCAAGGAGGATCTCTCCAGCCTGCCCAGCGCCAACGGAGGCTCCTCGTCGGGCCATCATTCGAGCGGCGTGCAGTCGGGCCATGGCCCGGACATGCTGCCCATCATCAAGGGCCAGCCCGCCAGCTGTGGAGGAGGAGGTGGAAGTGGGGGAGGAGGCGGCAGCACTACACCCAGCTCCCAGGCCAACAGCTCGCACTCGCAGAGCAGCAACAGTGGCTCCCAGATCGACTCCAAGCAGAACATCGAGTGCGTTGTCTGCGGCGACAAGAGCTCCGGCAAGCACTATGGACAATTTACCTGTGAAGGTGAGTACTGATCATCATCTGCGGATGTAACATTCAGATCCATTGTTTGGGGGTCAATTGATTTCGACTTGCATGTGTACTGAGTACGAAGCACAAGGAGTATCTTTCGGTTGAAGATGACCAAACAGAAATTGGCATCGCAGTTTTTCGTAATAGAAAGGTAACACAAAAGCGTGCCTGCCAGCCGCTGATTTTTGACAGTTTTCGGTGAATTATGGCAGTTTGATGAGTTGGCAGTAAAATCCTCCACTAAGCAGAAATCTTCTCTGCACTCCGATGGATGTGGGTGTGTGTGTGTGTGTGTGTATCTTCTATGGCATGCAAATCTTTTGGCGGGAGCGCAGCTGGAATGTATGTATCTTTTTCTCAGCCTGGGAAGTGGCCAAACGAGCCAAAGTGCAGCACAAAACCTTGCTTGGAGTTGATCGGCCCGAAATCATGTGGAGATACATTTACGAGCCAAAAGTTACGTTTATGGCATGGAAGATACTTTTGCATTTTGTGCTTAGAGTCAACATCCTAGAACTATCATTTGGGATTTTTCAGAATTTAAAAAATTTAGAAATATTACAACCATCCAGAAATATTTCCCAGCTCATCTTTTGCACAAATATCGTTTAAGGAACGATTTCCTAGATACTTTTGCATATCTGGTCAGCCGTTACCGTTAGACAGAAAGAGAGAGATAGAGAAAGAGAGAGAGAGAGAGCAGTGTAGCTCTTGAGATACAAAAGTGTAGGTTTACACTCGTATAGGGAGATGGCCTCTTAGGCGACCCGAGCACGCACTGAACCGCCAGAGTCTCAACGTTCCAGCTTATCGTCAGATAAAAAATTATTATCTAAATAAAATACGGTCCATGCTTTGTCCTAAGCCAAACACAATTGTTGTGCAAACATGCAAATTGTGCGGCGGTGGCGGTGGCGGCGGCGGCTGCTAAATGAAGCGCCCACCTTTTTATTGTCTCTCCCTCTTAGATAGAGATGGAGATAGAGATACTCGTACTACGAGGGAACTGCATTCAGAGAGAGGGAGAGAGAGGTGGCAGGGGGAGAGGTTCTCGTACTGCGGCTGTGGCATTTAGTGCAACTTCACGTTGAACTTGTCATAATCGTATCTCTTCAACTGTTCTGGAAGCAGAGCAGAAGACTTGCCTCTAGAGAGAGAGCGAGATACAGTGGGAAGAGACACACTTTAGATACAATTCCGCTTGCCACGGTTAGCGGTTAGTAGACAGAGGTGGTACTCCTCTCTGATTGCACCACTGTAGTATGTTTGGCGGGGTGTTTTGTGGCTTTTGTTGGCGCTGCTATTATTATTAATCACCGAGCATTTTGTACGCATGCGCAACCCACAAGAACAAGAACAATCTGTGACCGCCTCGTTGCATTCTGAAGGTGTTTTCTCTCCCTCCACTCCATTCCACTCCACTCCATTCCACTGTCCCTGTGGCCCATGTCTCGCTGCGGTATGTAGTGCATGGGTATCTGCCGCATCTCTTGCGCTCTCTGCCTGTTGGCTCTGATGATGTTGCCACGATAGCAATCTATTTTGTTCTATGCAATCGCCAGACAACCTCAGCCTTAGCTTAAGCTTCACTCAAAGGCAAACCTCTATGCCTACAAAATGAAAATAAAACTAAGGAGAAAAAAATATCATAATAAAGCGCATAGAAAGCGCATACATGTCTCAGGGCTCATATCATTGCCGGGGTTCTAAGAGGTTTCTTTGGAGGTGAACTCAAACCCATAATGTGCCTGGCTCTCGTCCTTCAAGGTGCAGATACATTTTGTTGATTTTTCGAAGAGAAAAGAAAAGATATGGGTAGTTCCTCCGCACCAACCCGTTTCGCGACTGTCTGTGTCCGTATCCATGTGCTCACTTGTGCGTCTGTCTCGCCGTCCATCTGTCTCGCTGTCTGTTGTCCGTGTGTCTTGCTGTCCAGTTTCCAGGTTTCAGGGCACGGGCACACGAGAGAGCTTGTCGGCTCAGTATGTGAAATTTATGCCAAGACACCCTCCCTGCACACAGAGAGCGCTCCGTACTCCCAAGATTAATTGTAGCTTATGCGTGTTGTCTGTTCCTGTTCCTGTTCGCTTGCCCTGCCTTGCCTTTCTGCCTGCTCCTTGCCAATCCTCTGCCTCTGCGTCTGGCTCAACTTCAACCCATTGTGGTGGCAACTTGTTTGATTCCACACTCTCTGCCACACAGCTGTTGCAGCCTCCTATTTCTCGGGTGAAATTAGGCAGAAGATACGCCAACGTTTTGCACTCATCAGCCAGCGCTCCAAAGTGCCTTCTAACCTTTTGCGAGCTCCAAAAGTCACGGTTCGGTGGGGCTCGTTCGGGGTCTCAAAAAAATGTGCGCTGATAAAAATGCCTTGATAATATTAATGATGATCAGTGCATGGCTCTAATGTGGCCAAAAGAATCCGCTATGGAGTACAGACATCAGACTCCTACCTCCTATTAATTTAGCCATTTGTCATGGCTATTAGGGGCCCAAAAGAGTAGATATCCCCGTGGATCCTGCATCATCAATCAGTGGCAGTGGGAAAAGAGCTGGCAAAATATTAAAAATACATAATTCTTGGCCAGCATTTCCCTCGAATCCATTGAATTTCAAATTGCAACGCGAAAAACTATCTCAGCACCCATGTCAAGAGGTGGAATTAACATAATTTATCTACCGCTCATGACAATGACAAATAAATTTTGCGAAATATAACAGCAACTCCGCAAAGTATCTTAGTATCTTGGCATGTATGCAATTAATTAAAACAAACGTCAACTAAAGCTGTAGCTCGAGCTGAAGCTACAGCTAAAATTAAGTGCAGCTCTGATACGGAGAATATAAAGAGTTGTAAGAAATTGCCATCACAACTAATTGTTAAGCGCCAGCCGAGGGCCATTAACTGCCACATATAATGTGTGTGTGAAGTGCATCCGCCAGATACAGAATGTCAACTCGGGTGGCGGTTGCTGCTGCTGCTCCATTTGCAACATTTTCTGCAACATTCAACTCATTTAAATAGATTCCCACGTTCGACAATTAAAGAGCAGCTCCCGAAATCCCAAATCCGTAATAAAATTCCAAGTTTAAGGAGTAACTTCCTTCGGTAATCCACAAAATTCTGAATGTCGCAGATCGCTTGGTCAGTCTGTCGTGTATCTTTCGCGTTCTTTTCCTTATTCATTCCTTCCTTTTGTGCGGAATTGCATTCAACATGTGTGGCTTTTTAATTAACTTCATTATGATGTGGGTAAATAAATTACTTGTGGGGAAGTTTTGAATTAAAAATTCCCATTTTCTCAGACCGATTCTGAAATTTCTGCATCCCCCAAAAAGTGGCTCTAGTTAGGAATTGGAACTTCTGCGAAAAAACATTTGTTCTGTGCATTGACTCATAAAATGTTAAACGATTTCCATTTTGTTTTTTTTTGACATAAATCACTTGAGAAAACTGTCCAAATTATAACTGATTATAACATAATATTTTTCCAAATTTAATATAAACCATTTCTTTCTTTGAAATCTCATTTCAAATTGGTTTCTTTTTACTCATGCAAGATACTTTCCACCTCTTGACAATCTGTTAAATGGCGCTCGACTCTAAAATGCATGTTTCCCTGTGAAAATTCATTCGACTTTAAGCAAAAAACATAAATCAATTTGCTGTCCGTGATACCGACCTCCTCCTCCTTCGTTCATTCTCTCTTCGAAAACCCGAATATTAAAAGATACAAAGTAAATACGAATCCAGAAAATTAACAACGCCCACTGGAGGATTGCAATTTATGACGTTCGCTCGTTTTTTTGGGAGGCAAGTAACGCCCGCAGCCAGCGGATTTCTTATTTATTAATTAGCAAGAAATGGAAAATAAATTCGAGGCTTGTATTAAAAATTTGCATTTAGTTGGGGCTCGAAGCCAGAGCGATGCAAAGGAGGCTGCTCCCCGAATTGAGTCAATTTCTTGCCCATAACATTTATCAAATAAATCGCATTTTGATAAACATTTATAACTTCCGTGCGATTTGCAGTCTGGTCTGGCTCTTGATTTACAACTCGGTAGCAGCTCTTTGCGCCCCTCGTGTGTGTGAGTGTGTGTGCCATGTGGCATGGGGTAACTTATGGCCTCAATGTTTATGTTGACAAATTTTTATGTTCCGCAAGGAAATAAATATTACATATGGGAGGGTTAACGCAACGCTCGAGGGTTAACGATTATGTCATAATAATCATATTTATAGAGAGAAAACAACAGAAAGAAGGAGATTAATGGAGGAGAAAGACACAATTCTTTACAATATTTCCAGCAGAAACAGAGCTCTGATATTTGCATTTTCGCACAAGCAGAATGTATCTGTGGATTAACCATTTAACCAATTTCGTAACACTTTTAAAGATACAGAAGCAAATAAACGGAGAAAAGGAGAATCTTTCACCATCCGGCTGGGAGTGGGGCATGAGGAATTACTCAACGTTGTGTCAACATTAATGAGCTCAGAGCTGAACCCTTCATTAAAAATAAGCCAACCAGCCAAGCCAAAGGAAAATCACCAAAAACAAAACTTAATTGTACAGATATTGTTAAAACAAAGAAACAACAAAATCAGCATCCAGCAAAAGCCAGCAAGGAGCAGCCGCAGCAGACATTGTAATCATTAAAACTTGGCTTGTAGTACAAATCGTTGTACTTAGAAGAAATGTTCAAGCCAATAAAGCAGCAGCCGACCCTAGACAGAGACTCAGACTGAGACTGGAACTGAGACTGAGACTGAGACCCAGATCCAGTGGAAGGTCTAACCCAGTGGAAATCCCTCTGTGGAAATGAGGCGCAAAAAATTCATCCTGACACGATGCGATTTCTAACAAAAAGGGGCGCCCGAAAAAGACTGAAAGACTGCAGTAGAGAAATCGTGAACTACCGACTTGATCCGCTTTATAATGTAACGGTTTAATTAATTATGTTAAGCTTTTGGCTCTCGAGAGATCTGCTGCTGCTGCTGCTGCTGCTTGGGCTCTGGGGCAGAGAGTCGTCTCGGTTGTGGCTGCCACTTCATGCGCAATTTTCGTTTTCAACTAACTTGGTCTAATCGATCAGGCCCAGCGAAATGTTGGTTGCAACTTTTGCTTGGCACGTTTTTATTTTGTGTGCATCTCCGTAGTGGCTGTGTGGCACTTGCAACATTTGCTAGAACCGATCTCTGGTACGACATGCCCCGCAGTGAGAGACTGGGGACTAGGTCTGTGCTGAACTGAGGCCTGGCCGAGACTCTTTAATGGTGCAACAGGCCAAGCAACACGGCTGTGCTGCAGCAATAACCTCTCTTATCGCCATGTGTCGCTCTCTGGTCCGAACACCACAGCTCTTCTTGTACATAGTACATGACCAGGGCAGACCCTGCTCCAACACCGACTCCAGCTGCAGCTTGTGGCTGTGGCTGCCCAACTTGCCGCATAACTTCACATAGCATCAGTTAAATCAAAGCTAAATCGCTTATCTGAGCTCGTCGGCGTTTTCCTTTTGGTCGTTTTTGTATATTTCTGCAACGTGTATATCGTTGTGACACATGAACACTCCAAGCAGTACTCCGTTGTGCCAACAATTGCGGAACGTTCTAGGCAGCAAGAGGACACTTTCGAAAGCGCTTCCCAGTTTTGCCAATTTGATTTACAGTTGACCTATATGGGGTAATAAAGCAGGGCCTAGAGCCTGGGTATCAATCCCAGAGGGGGGCCGCCACCTGTTCCGGCTCTTTTGTGTTCTTTTGCCGTCAGCTTGGCCCGTTCGTAATCAGTGCATTTTGTAGATACTTCGTACTCGTACCACAGAAGAGTGGCATGATGATGGTGGGGATTCGTGTCTGTCTGTCTGTCTGTCTGTCCGTCTATCTGTGTGTCTGGTGGGCGCTCTGGCTGTGTAATTATGTTTCGGTTGTACTCCAGATATTTTGTCTAGCCACCTCTGGACTCCCTCCAGTTCAAGCTCCAGCTGTAGTTGGAAGTCTCCGCGGAGTCTTGCAGTCTTTTGAGTGGCGGTGTGTGCTAATTACTTGGACTAGCTGCTTGCACCATGTAAGCTTCAACATTTAATTATTGCACCTTAATGATGGCTCTTTCTCTGTCTCTCGTATGTGTTTTAATAATTAGAAAATGAGCAAAGCCTTGACTTTTTCTCTGGCTCTGACACTGGCTTTGACTTTGCATTGCAGTTCTTTGAGCCCAGCGATCATTGACCGCAAATGCTGAGAAAATTGAATTGATTGCGGATATATGTATGCCAACAGATAAAGATACTCTCGCCAAAGATACAGATATACTCTCACCCAAGACACAGCCACTCTCTCCAGCGAATAATATAGAGATACGAGAGTTGGCAGAAGCCAACTAATTTAACGTTTTAAATTGCTCAGCCAAGCGGCAAGCAGACCATCTCGTGTCTACATATCTAAAGATAGTATTTTTGTTGCTGCTGCTGCTGCTGCAGTTTCAGGAAGTTCAATTAATAAAACGCTTAGCTTAGCTTAGTTCTTGGAAAACCCCTCGTAACTGTATTGAACGCTTTATGGCGCGTAGCGCACGCGATACGAGTACTCGTACTCGAGTATTCTTCTGCCACCCTCTGGCAATTAGGTGAAGCGGTAATTGAAACTACCGCAAAGTTAGCTCTAGACTAAGCCAAAGCTAGCCACTTAAGTTAGCAGAAGTCCTAAGCTTAAGCTTAAGCTGCAGTCGAAGCCATAGAGAGGGCAGTGCAAGGGCTTCCATCAGGGGCGAAGCTTCCCACAGGTTGTCAGCTCTCTCTCTCACACACTCTCCATGGGGCGATCCACCCTTTTTCGGTTATTGATATAACACGATATCGTATCCCTCCTACCCCGAATTGGTTTTTGGTTTACGGTATCTCCAAGCTACGTTGTACTCGTATCTTCATCAATAACGACGACGCGCGCATCTTTCGCATCGCATCGCATCGAAACGTACTCTGGGGATGGGGCAGCAGCTCTAGATAGAGTCGCGATAGGCGCATATGGGCAGTGTGCCTCTGTTGCACACAGTTCTTTCAGGCACAGGCCGGCCTGGCTGCAATGTCTGTCTGTCCATCTGTATCTCTCTCTCCAACAACAGCAGCGCAAAGGCGCAGTCAGAGTTTAGTGGTAGGAGCAAAAGATACCATTGGCTAAGAAGGGGTTAAGCAGTGGAAAGAAGAGGTGGCAGAAGAGAGCGAGAGGAGCGGGAAGATAGATGGTGGGGGGCAAGGGAAGACGACGAAGAGTAAAAAAAGGCAACGGTACGTTTTGGCAGAAATCGTGACTTGGTACAATATCGTTATTCGTAGATCATATGGTGTAAAAGCATCCAGTGTGTGTAAGTGTGTTGTATCTGTGTGAGTGTGTGCCCAGGTGTATCTATGTGTGTTCGCAGAGTATCCACTAGATGTGTCTGTGCCCGAGTCTTGGGTTGGTCTCTGGAGCAAACCCACAGGCGGGCACTGGAGAATAGTGAATGCTCTCTGAAGGATTATGAGATAATCTGGGATGTGATGGCATTTGACCAGCAATCCTCAACTGATTAGTGAGCTTCTCCTTTTGAGCTCTTTAAAATAAACCATCTTAATTTTCCCTTTCTACCTCTCTGTAGTCATTTCTCTATAGCGCATTAATCGATCGACTTTAACTTTCCATCAGTTTCAATTTGCTGGCCACGTTTTGTTTTCCCCCATTTCGGTGGGAGGCTGCAGAGCCACACGATCGCAATGGCAACGAGAAAAAAAAGCATTGAAAAATCTTTTATAGCCTGTGATCGTATGCTATATGTGAGGGATGCGGGGGACTGGTGGTGGGTTGCAGGGAGTATAGGATCGAGTCTGTATAAACGCTCAGCGCTTACATATTTTGTTTGATGATGATTTTACAGCTTAAAACGAATTTTATGAGCATATGCCATTGTTTTGAGTTATTGTGAGAAATTTTCTTGGTGCATGGCCCAAAGCCAAATGGCCCAGACAATGCTAGCAAGCCGCCCTCTCTGGCCGAAGCTCTTTATGCAGAAAACTCAGATGCAGATGCAGATGCTGCCTAGGAGAGCGAGAGCCCCCCAGTGATACACATGTTTAGATACGCGTCGGCGACATTAACTGGCAACAACACCCCAGCATCCCAGCCTCTCAGTTCCAGCCTTAGTGCCAGGTCCAGGGATTGGGTTTGGGTTTGGGTTTGGCTTTGGCTTTGAGTTTGAGTTTGGGCCTCTGTCCTGAAGCACTTAGTCGAAACGAGCCGTGGCCGATCTGTCCGTCTGGCCCCTTAACAGTAAATTCGTGGCATCCGCGGCTGCCAGTTTTCCTTCTTTCGGTGCGGATTCCACAGCTTGGGCCAAAGTACGAGTACGAATACGAGTACGAGTATCTCCGTGGCTGGCCAAGATACACTTTGTTAATTGAAATCCATTAAAGGTAATTTTATGGGAGGCGTTAAGCCATGAAACGTGTAACATGACCATTGACATGGGCATCACCGAAAGGAACCAGGCAACTGCGACTCGGCTGCGCACTGCGATTGTTGTCATGAAGTGAGGCTGGAACTCACTTTGCTTTACAAGTGGTAACAATTCTTTGTACTCCCGGGGTGCCATGGAATTTGTACAACTTGCTGGAAAAACAAAGACATGCCTCAGCCGAGCGGGGGGTTTATTCCACAATTTCTCTAAGAAAAGTCCAAGAATCTGTATCTACATGTATTAATATTCTTCATCACTTTTCTTTTTTTCAGGCTGCAAATCATTCTTCAAACGCTCTGTGCGACGCAATCTCACCTACTCGTGTCGCGGCAGTCGAAACTGTCCTATAGATCAACATCATCGCAATCAATGTCAATATTGCCGATTGAAAAAGTGTCTCAAAATGGGCATGAGACGCGAAGGTAAGACTCTCTCCCCTACCTCTCTTTTTAGCTAATATAAGTATAATAAGTATTCCTCAGCAAAACATATAGAACATCTAGAACAAAGAGATTCCTGGTTGTGGGTCAATTAAAAGTCAAACCTAGAGGCAAACAAAATAAATTAAATGATCGGCAGAGGCAGCAGAGCAGAGCAGAGCCATAGAAGAGACAGAACGGAAGTAGAACAGCTTTCAGATGGCGGACTCGATGACTAAATGTCACATGGGGGTGGGTGGGTGTCGTTTCGGTTCAGTTTGAGTTATTTGGGTGCCAAGAACTATGCCAAAGAATGTGGATCACATCGGATCAGGCCAAATATCAGGCGGCTCTCTAGCAGAGCAGCAGTCTTTGGGGTACAGCCGCCCCGTCGCAGCGCCGCCCGCTGCCTCACTCTCGTGTGGCAATCATCCACGCACCACAAATTGCTTTACCCAGAAACGGCCGTAATAGAAAAAAATAACAATTAGGCTGGCAGGCAGGCGAGTGCAACATTTTGACCCCAGAGATCAAATGCAAACTCGTTCGATCATTTGTTCATAATTAAACAAGAAAGGAAGGCGAGGAGGCAGTTTTCGGGGGCATAAACGAAGCTTCAGATACTCTTAAAAATACATATTTTATGGATTTTGTATGTGTCCCGTAGTAATACTTGTATTTTTGTCCATAATTCTATACTGAATCCATTCACGAGAAGATTCTGTGCAAAGTTTCAGCCTGTCTAAAGACTGTCTAAATCATTATGCACTGACAGAAACTATCCATAAAATCTATCAGTTAATCAATGCCGACTGCTGGCCAATATGTAACTAATTTGTAAGCAAAGCCATGCCAAATATTTGGCATACTTGGGTGAGACTTGTTTTCCTGGCAAACGCGCTCACAGATTGCCAAAGGCAGCGGCTCCACTGATTGACTGATTGACTGACTGACTGACTGCCTGACTGAGAGACTGACTGACTGACTGGCAGACTGGACTGACAATGGCCAGTTACACTTGTCAGCATTAACAATTAACGTCTGTCAGGGAGAGATAGAGCCCAAGACTGCAGTTAGTGGACGCTAAGCTGTTATTATTTGCACTAATATTGACAGGTTTTTCGCAAAATGCTAATAACCAACGGCAGCCGACGTCTCTACAGACTGTACGGACTGTACGAATCTCTGACGCTCATACATCGATTTGGGTTAAGAACGAAAACGTTAATTTATGGCGACTATGGGCAATTAAAATGCAGCTAAAGCCACAGTGCTGTAGACAGAGCTACGCCGCCTGGCCTGGTCCTCTCAATGCACTTGTAATTAAATGAATATAAACATTTACTTAGTCCCCGACTAAGCCCCGACTTGGAGGGGCTATGGCAATGGCTATAGCATTTCAAATTTACCTAACCCAATGTTTGCTCGAGCCGCGAGACAAGTTTTTGGCTAATGACACAGTCTGAACCCCCCCAGGTCCGAGCTCATATCTACAGAGCTACCTGTTGTTGAAGCCCCATTAATTCCGATTATTTCCTCACTTCTCGCGACACCGAGTCCGCTACCAGATCTCCTACTTGTCCCACTGCTAATAAAACTCAAAAGAGTTCAACACCTTTTTTCTCTGGAGAGGGATTCGCCTTGAGTCACACATTTCCTCAATGTAATGACAAGTTCTGCGTAAAACTAGTCCCCGCTCCTCTCACCTCGCAATCAGAGCTAACAAATCGTGGGAAAATCTTATTTCTGCATAGAATATTTCCTTCGCTTTTACCCTCTTTAGGCGAGGTGGAGCGATAGGGAGGTGGGGGGTCAGTACTTTAGACGTAAAGCGGGACAAAGGTGGTGCCTGGGATGACCCTGGGTCAAGAAATTGTACGGGTTTTGGCATACAAAAAGCCGAAACCTGAAACAAAATCAACATGAAATCTGTGTTCCAGGTCGCTCTAATTAAATTCCAGTGTCAATTGGTCAAGGGCCAAGGGGGGGGCTGGACTTTCAGCAGAAGGAAAGAAGCCAGAACTGGTCAGAGATATTTTTACCATACATTTTCGATCGAAAAAACGAGTTTTTATTAAGGGAAGCAACATTTTACGGAATTTATTATATTTTTTAAAGGGATTTGATGGGTAAATGGGATTGGACTCGTAGAGGAATGCAGATGGGATATTTAATGGGGAGGGTTGTTTTTTTGGCTGCATGCAGCATTCCAAAAGATTGAACTCTGCTGTGCACTTTGACCCCGAAATGAATTCAAAATGCAACACCTGCATTCGGGGCTTGGTTCGAACGCATTTCTTGGCCAGAGACAATGGCCAGAGATCGCGGGCTTAGTACGAAAGAGACTTTGCTGGTTAGGAAAGTGGGTCAAGCAAAGGTTTGTTTACACCTCAGCCAAACAGCCACAGCAAGCACTCCACACCTTTATACGACAGACAGCAAACACACATCCTAGACACACCTAGAGCTCCAAGAGAGAGAGACACAATCTGGGCAACAAAATCAAAGCCTTGGGGCCTTAAAACAAAGCAATGGCAAAAACATTATTATTGATCGAAGCTCTCATTGTACACGTACAGCTGGAAAGGGAACCTGAAACGCTGGCTTCAGCACAAACAAATCTCTACCTGGAAACCTAACGTAACGTCTTTTGTCGAGTGATTTCCGTGATCTGAAAAGCGAAAGCACTTTTTGGTCAGTCCGGCACACACATGATCTGGAAATCCCTTTTGCATCGTGGTCCCCTGGAAAGGTGTTTGTTTATTGCTTTACCGAAGCAATTAAGCTAAGGGTTGCTGACGCACTGACCAGGCGCAGAACCAGTTCCTTGACCACTGTCCGGCCAGGGGAGAGTGCGAGAGACACTTATTTACAGAATATATTTGCGTAATTGTGCAGAGCGAGAGGATTCCATAAGACTTTTGCCTACTTCTACTCCCATTCACTGGGTGATCTATGGGCAGAGAGCGATCCGAAAACCGGTTGGAGTGTCCAGTGTCCAGTATCTTATTTATGCGCCTGGGAAAATATTGTCTGACCGCAAGAATAATGCAAGAAGCTAAAGGCTGCAAGAAAAGAGATGCAGACCAATGGCTAAGCCTGTGGTTTTCGGTCCGCAGATCAGGCCACAGATTACAGCAGCCAAGAAAGCAACATCACACGAAGGGATTGTGGTCCTTGGCCCCGACTTGCCCTTTTTTCCGATTTCTTTGCTGGCGCTGATTACTTAATGAATGAATCCTCCAGTACGCCAGCACGTGCTCAAGTTTCCGCTTACATGTCACTCGAGAGAGCGTGTCCAAGTGGCTTAACTTAACTTTTGCATATCCCATGGTCATATGTGCAAATATCCCATATCCACAGTCCACAATCAAGCAGACCCATCCCCAAGTCCAGGTCCATGTACATGTCAATGTCTCTGTTGCTGTCTCTGTGGGGAAATTCCGTTTCCGGCCTCGAGTTCAAAAGGCCTTTCACTTTCCATTTAGCTGCTTTGTTGTTAAGCATTTACATTGTTAATTATAATGTTTAAACGTGAATATATCTCGATCCATACATATGTGTATGTACTTTTAATTCAAACAAAAAGGAAAGAAAAGAAAACCTGTGCACATTCCATTTGTGCGATTTGCATTAAACGTAAAACTTTGGAATCTGCACAACTCTCCCCTACATCTGCTTGCAAGATCTACTGCCCGGGATAAACATATGTGTGTGTGTGTGTGTGAGTGTGTGTTTGTATCTTAAAGATGCGTTGAAAGTATTTAGTTCAATTTGCATATCTAAGCAGTTGCGACAACCAACACCCAGCAATGGGGTTGAAAGCGTCTGAATGGGTTAGGGTTCGTTTTCTGTGGGGTAGTAATGCCCTGCCAGAGAGAGCAGCGAAAAGTATCTTATAACGTTGTCTTGGACTTGGGACAAAAGGCAAACAACACAGCACAACGACGCAGATCTGTGTGCGCGAGAGATGCGTCAGAGATTGAGAGATTGAGGTGGCCTGATATTGCCCATTGTGCGCTGTGGCAGCTTTGCCAACAGATCTGAATGCGTCTCATTGTGCGGCGTGTGATGTGGCGGTCAAAATAAGCCCAACAAAAGGGATAGTCCTTACCACCGGGGTATGCCAGTCTACACATAGTGACTCTCTTTCCATCATATCATAGTCTTTTCCAATTGAAATTCTGCCAAAATATCAACTAATTTCCCACATATTCTTCTGTCTCTTTGCAGCTGTTCAACGGGGACGCGTACCACCCACACAGCCTGGTCTCGCTGGCATGCATGGCCAGTACCAGATCGCCAATGGGGATCCCATGGGCATTGCCGGCTTCAATGGTCACTCGTACCTCAGTTCCTACATCTCGCTGCTGCTGCGAGCGGAGCCATATCCCACGTCCCGCTACGGCCAGTGTATGCAGCCCAACAACATTATGGGAATCGACAACATCTGCGAGCTGGCTGCGAGGCTGCTCTTCTCCGCCGTCGAGTGGGCCAAGAACATACCCTTCTTCCCCGAGCTGCAGGTCACCGACCAGGTGGCATTGCTCCGCCTCGTCTGGTCGGAGCTGTTTGTGCTGAATGCCAGCCAGTGCTCGATGCCTCTGCATGTGGCACCACTGCTGGCGGCGGCGGGTCTGCACGCCTCTCCCATGGCAGCGGATCGGGTGGTGGCCTTCATGGACCACATACGCATCTTTCAGGAGCAGGTGGAGAAGCTGAAGGCGCTGCATGTGGACTCCGCCGAGTACTCCTGCCTCAAGGCGATCGTTCTCTTCACCACCGGTAAGTTGCTGGACATCCTCTACAAGGATGTGCCCGCACTGCTAACGAAAGTTTCAGCACTGCTCGGAAAGTCGTCCGGCTCCACCAACGACGATATCCTCAATGTGGTGCGTGACCATCTCGATGAGCTGAATCGCCAGGAGATGGAGTCGCAGGCTCCCACCCAGGCGCCCATCCATTTGGCGGCTTTCATGAAGAGTGTGGCCGGCGTTGAGGCTGCAGTGCAGCAGGCGGAGCAGCACCAACAGCAGCAGCAGCAGCAGCAGGTGCAGCATCAGCAGCAACACCAGCAGTTGCAAGCTGAGAGCAAACCCTCTCCCATCTGCTCCTCTGCGGCTGTGGTGCCCTCCGCCGGCAGTGCCTTCAGCAGCTGCGCCAAGTCCACTGCCAGTGGCTCCGAGATGGATCTCCTGGCCAGTCTCTATGCCCAGGCGCAGGGTGCGTCCTCGAGTGGGGACTCTTCCGGCCACAATAACAGCAGCGGTCTGGGCGCCTCGCTTCCTACTCAATCGCAAAGCGGTTCGTCCTCCCTCAACATAACCGCCTCGCCGCTGAGTACTTCGCTGGCCCCCGTCCCTGCCCCAGTTGCAGCCACCGTCTCCGTATCCGCACCTTCCTCTCTTTCAATCCCCTCTTCGGTGGCTGTCACCACCTCGTCAGCCTCTTCGCTGGGTGGAGCCTATCAGACGTCGTCCGCTGCTGCGGCGGCTGCTGCCATGTTCCACTATCAGACGCCGCCGCGTGCTCCCTTCGGATCGGCCTTCGATATGTTCCATCACAGCACGCCCTTCGGGGTAGGGGTGGGGGGTATGGCCCACGGCCATGGCAGCGGATCCTTTGGCAGTCCCACCTATAGATATTCCCCCTATAGCCTGGCGGGCAGTAGATGGCAGTTGTAGGCCGTTAGTTGTCGCTAGAATCTCATCCCGCCTCAGTCGCATAGCTCTACCTGTAAATGTATCTGTATCTATGTCTATAGCTAGTATAGCACATACGTGTATCTAAAGTTACTTTAGTCGCTATCTAAGTATTTATTGCCTTACACTAAGTCTAAATTATTATAGCCGTAATCCCTAGCCTATAATCGTTATTGCCAAAAACTACGCATACTCGTACAAAGAATCGATGAAAGTTTGGAGTACAAATGAAGAAAGAAAATCCTCAGAATATATATAAAGCTGTTGCTGTTAAACCAAAAAATCTAATCCTGGCTTGTGTTTTTACTCGTTTATTTCGTTACTAATTGTTTAAACCGCTTGTTGACTAATTGTTTAAGTATTTACTAATTAACATTACCTCCCGGCTAACATTTTACTAACATTACTACTGATGTCTTGAGAACCTTCTTAACTTCAAGTGTAATCCAAAGTAAAGATAAAGATCCCAATAGATTTCGCAGTAAGCCTAATATTTCTACAATATTATTGATAAAAGTTCATAGAAGTGATGTACGAAAATTAGTTTTGGTATCAAATGTAAAATAATTATTTCATATCTTCAATCTTAACTGATGATAAAAACTATTTTTGAAACAAGATTGAAGTTTGCCATAATTAAAACTAATGAGAGTTCAAGAAAACATTTACAATTTGCTAATTAATCACTATGATCAACTTATTTCGGTTTCAATAACTAATATCTTGGTATTCGTGTATATAATTTAAATCTGAATTTGAAATTAAAATAATTTGATCATTGTTAGATAATTTTCTAAAATTATTGTGTATCAATTTTACAGTCATTTTCAAAGATATTTAATATTTCTGAATCTATTTGGCAAACAAAACAAAAAGAAGCAAATCAATCTCTTGTTTCCCAATTTTGTGGACGTATTTGAAACATTTTAAAGTTAAAAGTAAGAAACACTTTTTCATTCAGCAATAATTTCAATGATAAATCAATGATTTCCAACTCGTTAAAGCTTCACAAATATGTCATGAATTTTTTGTCAAAAGTCTCATGAAGGACTATTATTCCTTCTATATTGATAAAAACTCTTAAGAGGTAAAACAAAAATTAACCAACATTATAACCCATCCGTTTTCTCGAAAACCTAAAGTGATGAGCTCTCTCTGATTAAGTTTTCGGGACAAACAAATATCCCAAGGTAAAGGCTTACAGTTTTGTTTTTCATTTATTACATTTTTATTTCAGCACTTTGGAAAGCTTTACATTTGGTTTAAGTTTACAACGCTAAAAACTCAATAATTTGAACAAAATTTACAGTTTTCCCTTCTCCACACATTCATTTATTTATTACTAATTCTTACACATTTTTATTTCGTTTTTTAACAAAAAGCTTCACACAAAATTTTATCTCATCCGCACGTGGCTACAGAACTCTGGACTTTGGGATTGCACAAACAAATGCACATCTAACACGCACTCAAACACACAAACATATACACACATAAATCACAGCCACTAATACGTGAATATTTAAAAAATATATTTCCTAAGTTTATAAGTATATATTTAGGTTCCACGTGATAAATAAATCATTGATGTTTTGTACGCAAATAGAAAGAACAGACACTTTTTTTGAGGCTACTTAAGTTAAGTTTAAGTTAAGTTTAGCCCTAAGTTAAGGTTTATCGATTAGGGCAACGTTCCTACCTCTAACCCAAGTGCCAACAAGTTTTTAAATTTGCAACATTTACTCGATTTGCTGTTGCATCAAAACTTATAGACGCTTCGGCACCAATATATGATAAAGCAAAGAAATAATCAGCCACCACCTGAATGTAATTAAATTCAAAGAAAACTATCTGAAATAGTTTCCAAAGTATTCTCCTTAAGATTAAAGTGAAACTTGGTTCAAGTCTGTACCTCTCCCATGTGTAGCCTCCTTTATGCCACCACTCCTTTCTCGTGTCATGTCAACCAGCTGTCGAGGGGCACGTCGCAATTGTTTTTTCCTCTAAGCTGATCCAAACAGATCTTCCCTCTAGGCCCCGCTCTTTCACTGTTTCGCGGCGACGTTTATTGACGTCGCGATACCACATTATGAACATTAATACAACACTCGTTTATGTCGCTTACTTACAAGCCAAACTCTAACTCTGCTCCAACTCCAGCTCCAACTACAATCCCGAACCCACTCCGACCCGCTCCGACCAGTGGACCATGTCCAGGCCTTGGCCAAAACTTGCAATGAAAATGATTTTTACAATTTCCACAAAACGCTGTGTGTGTCGCTAGGCCAAAGCTCTGCATCTGCCTCTACATCTGCCACTGCCTCTCCTCCACCGTCATCTCCTCTATGAGGGGGCGTGTGTGGCATGGAGTTTGCTCGTTCGTGGACTCGTGGACCCATGGACCGACCCGACCCGAACCGACCAGCGGTGCCCATGGTCCGGGACCGAGTTGCAAGCCACAATTGCATTTGAATTGGCTGCATGAGTCCATAAACTGCAGCCGATCAATCGCTGCGTCGTCGTCCGCATCGTTTTCGACTCTTTCTTTGCAGATTGTGGGAGACGAGACACGATCGCGGTAGTAAAATACCGGGTATAGACTTACTAGATCTTCTGCTGCTGCTGCACATTGACGACATGTCTTCTGTGGCTCTGATCCTATGGCTGTGTGGCTGTGTGTCTGCGGCATGGTTACCCATGGTGCATCTTCCATGGACAGGCCTCTGGCTCCGTCTTCCCCCATTCTGATTGCTGTCGTTTGTTGTAGTTGTTAAGAGTTGTAGCTTTCATGTCTTGGCCACACTTTTTGACCAACATTTTGTGTGCTTGCGCTTTTGGTTGTGGCTTTGGCTTTGGCTTTGGCTTTGGCTCTGGCTCTGTGTCTGGGGCTGCTCAAATCGTTTTGTGGCGCTCATTGATCGCTTGCGCTACTTTTTCCCTGAAAATTGCCAGAGACGTGCCTGGCGGCATGGGCTCCCCATTCTTGTAATTAACAGTTTGAGTCTAGGCAGACGGTCTCGTTGATTAGAATCATTAAGGGCGCGTTTCGATATTAGCTTTGGTCTGGGAGTCAAAGTTTGCACAAGATTTAGATTCAGTTGATAGAGTGCCTCGCTCTCTTGTCTTTTTACAGTTGACCCCACATGACCCCCGATCCTTATTAAAACTAAATAAAGCTATAACTGTTTTGTGACCAGGTCCAGGCACGAACTGTGCTCAGAACTGGTGCCGCCATAAAGAACACAAAATCTAATAAAATATAATGCAGCGATTCATAATTTTGTTAAACAGCGTCGTCTCCCTTTCCCGCCGTACCATCCTTGTGGTTGTGTGGCTGTATGCTTTTCCGATATGTCGAGTCGCCTGGTGGCTTGGTCCAACTACTTTACGGTCATTATGCATTTAAAACACGCGGTCACGATCTCTACCTCCCTTCCTTCCCGTAAATATCAACGTCTACGTCTGCGTCTGCGCTGCTGAGTTAGTAACTGCGACGAGTCGCAACCCGAAAACCAAAGCCCAAAACCAAAAACCAAATACAAATCGAAGCCAAAAACTCGTAGGGTACATAACTACAAGGCAGCCAAACGGTTTAACAAAGAGCCAGAGTCGAAGGTAGAGAGCCAAAGCCATAGTCAGAGTCAAGAGAAACAAGACAGAAAGCACAACTTCAGAGGTGCCGAAGCATCTAATACCCTTACAATAAATCGTTAGATTTTGGATATATGAGGCAGTCTTTTATATCTTTGTGTCTTCTCAGAGCACACACAGACTTAATGGCAATTCATTGAATACTTCTACCGACTTCATTGCAAACATTTCTTTACATTCATAATACCCTGCCAGAGAGCATGAAAATCAAAGTCAACGACAAGGCGAAACCCCTCGAGAAAGCTTCGCTGCACTCTGTGCCTGCATTTCTTTTCGGCCCCAAAGACCTGGAAGTGGAATGTCTTTCACTTTAAGCATGCAACTCCTCCGCTGTCCCAGTCCCAGTCCCAGCCTTCTTCTCCTGGGACTTCTCCCTCCTCCGTCCCACATCCAGTCAGCATCATCATCTTTGCTGAATTTCAATGAAACTAAAATTTTGTGCGCCTCCGCCGAGACTCCCTCTTATGTTGTTTTGTGTTTATGATTTTCTATTTGGGAGCAGACTCTGGAAGAGAGTCCAATCCCGATCCGTCCCAGGCTAATGGAAAGTCAATTGACAATTATGGCCATGGCCAATGAAGTGATTCGTTCGAGGCTCTCTGATCTGGAAGACTGACCATGTCTAATTTGTATCGCCATCGTATCGTTGAGACTTGAGCTTCACGATTACGAGTACCTCTGTTTGTTTGTTTCTTTGTTTCGTTCGTTGGTTGGTTTGACTTCATGCTTGCTCGTGGTTTATGAAATGGAATGGTTAATAATGGCTAATTGAATTTCTGTTGTGTTTTGCCTTTGGCGACAAATCATTTAACTTGATTTACGCGCATTGTGTGGGGGCTAAAAGTGACTCTGCTCCTTTGATTCTCCAAGAGTGAGTGGCTGACTGTGAACCTCCTTCACTGTGATTCTCGTAGACCTAAATTTTCTGCAGCTTCGGGCATGAAATTTATATGATAGCTTGAATCTAAAAAGGTAACCATTCGTTTATCTGTATAACTGCATCGGCAGCGATTTGCTTAAGCTGTAGATTTCCTGCCCCGTATTGGCTTTCAATTGACACTTGTCTTTTATGTGCAGCTTTTGGGTTTATGTGCAAGCAATGCGACGCCACAGCCATTAACGACATGCAGTCAAATGTGAGACTCGAAACCGCGACAGCCGGCCCCTGCAATCATCGGATATATGAGCCTGACATCAAATCATGATGATATCGGCTGGCAAATGGCCAAATCATTAGCCCCTGAGCCGCCGGTGCGGCTGCTCAGCTGCAAACGAATATATCAGCTGGTTGGTGTCTTTAGCTTGTTTTGTCAGTTTCAGTCTTTCTGTTTTGCGTAATGGAGTCCTCGTGTGTGCAGTGACTAATTAAGCAAACAAAATTTCATATGCAATTTCGAAACGCCATTCTTAACAGCAAAACAGCCGCTGCGACAACCATTTAAAATGCTTTAAAGCTATGCAAATTTACAAGTGCTGATGTCTAATTTGAATTTCAAACAGACAAACACTGAATATTGTATATATAGATTTAACGAAAATAATAGAAAATGCTAAATTCAATGCCGGTCTGTCCGTTTTTGTACCCTTTTGCTGAGGGTACCACGATTTAGGATTGGCTTTCCGCTTAGATGAGAACACCATTTTGTAAAATATATGTTCTACAGGAACAATCAGGCTTTGAATGTAGCTAAAGCTGATGCCCAACACCAAAATTCCTTAACATCAATTGCTTTGATAGAGTATCTCAAGCTTCGGTTTTCGAAACTACCCTTCCATCTTGATTTGGCTAATGTTTTTCCAACAGCATCGGCCTCTTGATAGTCATACTTTTGGTGCCTCGCAATTAACACTCGAACGACGGCACACGCTGCGTATGCGCAATACATCTAGCGGTTGACTGTGTAATTAAATGCCATGGGCTAACAGACAAGAGAGGAAAACCCGCAATGGGTTGGCCCGGGGCGTTGTCTTTTGGTTTAATTTTTTCCGAAAATTTAATTAAAGCAACTGTTGTTGACCGTTTTTCAATTCAATACATAAATCTTGTAAGAAATGATGTAATCCCCGCTAGTTTCGTCATCAAACTGTTGCTGTTGTGGTTGTTGTTATTGTTTTGTGGTGTTCTGTGGTGTTTTCAACTGGAGACAATGGGCGTGTACCCCGGTTTGTGTTTCGGTGAATTGAAAAACTTCGAGCTATCGAAAGCCACAATTATGTATTGTATTTGCATAGCAAACCAAATGGAGTGATCTTTATTTTTATTGGAACCTTTTCTGCTTTGATTCTTTGTTGTAGATGCCTGCGGCCTGAGCGATGTGACTCACATTGAATCCCTGCAAGAGAAATCACAATGCGCTCTCGAGGAGTACTGTCGGACGCAGTATCCCAATCAGCCAACGAGATTCGGAAAACTTCTGCTCAGATTACCCTCGCTGCGAACTGTTTCCTCACAAGTAAGTAGAAGTTTTACATTATAGCTTCAAAATATACAAAAAAGAATCTACCCAAAACATATCCAGAATCCTCTTTGTTATTCTTGTATTTCTTAAACATTTTTTATTAATTCCTTGTACTTTTTCATTGTCTATTTTCATTGTGTAGGTCATTGAGCAATTGTTTTTTGTGCGTCTAGTCGGAAAAACGCCCATCGAAACGCTGATACGCGACATGCTCTTGAGCGGCAACAGTTTCTCGTGGCCCTATCTGCCTTCGATGTGACACACGATGTGGCGCCAATTGACAACAACTTGATCATCGGCCGCAGCTGTGGCGGCTGCAACGCTCAACATCAATCCAGGCATTGGCGGTGGCGGTGGCAGTGGCAGTGGCGGAGGAGTTTCTGGCTGTGGCAGCCACAATATTGTTGATCAGCAATGCAATGTTGCTGCTGCTGCTGCGACATACGTCGGGGGCAACAACAGCAATTGCAACAACAGCGGCGGCGGCGGCAACAGCAACAGCAACATTTGCAATCAGCAAATCAACAACTACCACAGCAGCAACAATAGCAATGGAAGCAGTGCCAGCAATCATATGAGTGCCACAAGTTTCTTCAGTGCCACAGGCAGCAGCAACAGCATCAGCAGCAACAACGATTATATGGCCTCGCCGAATGTTGCATATGTGACACCAGCGTCTGCAACTGCAACATCTGCAACAGCAACAGCCACAGCAACATCCACAACGATGCTGTCTAATTACTGCGATGCCGCTACCATGATGATGGCCGCGGCGGCAGTCAATGCAAATCAATGCCTGCAACAACATCACCAGCGCATGTTGCTGGCAACCAGCGGTGGCAGCAACAGCAGCAGCAACAATGATCACTTATCTGCAGCTGGTTCACTGTCATCTGCCTCATCGACGCCAACAGCAATAGCAGCAGCAGCAACAGCAACAGCAACAGCAGCCACGACTGCCACATCCACCCCGCAGCAACATTTGCAACATATGCAACATCAGCCGCAACAGCAGCAGCAACAATCGCCACCAAATTTAATAGATATCAGCGAAGTTCCTCTCATTGTGGATGTCAAGTAGTGTAATTATTTATGCATCTAGAAATGGGGCTATAAAACAATGTTGTAGATACCCAAAAATCCAAAATCCCAACCCAAAAAAAAACCAAGAAAAAATGTAAAAACAAAAAAAAAAGATATGGACGATTCGTGTAGCTTAATTGTTTAATTTTTGTTGTATTTTTGTACATAAATCTCCCGAAACCCCTCAAAATAAATTAAAGATACTTACCCATATCCGGAGAACTTTTAAAGTTAAGAGCCCCTACCCAAAACAGGGGTTCTGTTTACAATAAAAATGTGTATAATATTTCAATGGCACTGAGTTCTACTTAAAGAAAAGTTAAACAAGAGGAACATCTCCTTAAATCTCCCCCTCTCAACAAAAAAAGACAAAAACACCTGTATGTTAGTTAAAATATTTATATAAAACTATCAGATACAGATATATTAAAAGAAAGATATAGATGTTCTACTCCCAGTGGTTTGCAGAAATATACCAAAAATTTTCTTAGCTATTAACTTACTTTGATGTGTGGCAATTTTATATAAAGCGTGCTTTAGCAATTTTATTTTTACTTTAAGTAAAATTTAAAATGTACTTGTTTCTCCCCTCGGCTCTTTAAGGGCGGGCGGAGTGGCACAATTTCGTTTAAATTTAAATCCAAAATTTAGCAAATTTTTTGTTTAAGACAATTCAGTGCAAGTTTCAGTTTTTTAAAACACAATATTTTCGCGTAAGCCTAAGCATTATTTTATTTATGTGTATAAAAAAAGTATGAAAAGTTTTCTATATTTTGTAATAAATAAAAATTTGCGTTTATACTGAACATTTTAAGTCCATTTCGTTTTCTATTTATTTTGGAACCTTATTTTTATCTGCAGACAAATTTTGTATATAGGAAGAAAACAAAAAAGTATTGTCATCGATGCTCGAAGCCAATTTGCGTATTTAATAAATAAAATGCAATGGGGGAAATCGAACAACAACAAAAAAGGAAAAAAACGTGTGTAAATAATATGAAAAAAATCAAATTAAGTATTAAATAAATACAATTGCTTATTGAATGCATCACGTAAACGCGTGTAAATACAATTTTAAGTGCGATTCCGAGGTATTTAATGTATGTAAATCTACTGATAAGGAAATAAGTGGATGCTATGGATGCTCGGCAATTGAAATGAAGGTGTCAGCGATTGTGTTTGTGTGTGTCCTTATCACGAATTAAAGACACATCGCAGTAGAACAGGAAAAAAAAAACATCCACATCGGAATCATCCTCACCATCAGCATCTCTCGAATTGTTTATTGGGTTCAATCGAATGTACTTGAGTATTTAATTAGCATAAAAACTGTTTGTTTTACGTTTTTTGTATGGATTAATTTCGATATACGAATGAAGTGTACGTTAAAAAAAGTAATATTTAATAAAAAATACAAAGATAATTCAATGAAAAAGTTTCTCCAGCAAAACCTGAAAAATAAATGTAAGAATATTTTCATATTTTTTCCACTGGTTCTATGAATATGTCCGCTTTCTATTGAAAAGCATAAGCCGAAACACAATCACTTCGTAAACACAATCCCCCGCCCTCCCAATGACCATTGACCGAAGGAAACTTTCATAAGTTCCAAGACAACTTCCTCAAAAGCCCAAAACATATGTATATCTGAACATTAAGTGGTACGTGATGCAACAAAATATCATGTGTTGCAGAAATAAATGCTCAAGTCATGAGCAAAGGCACTGCACCCACCTCAATCCACAGAGAGATCCAAAGCACATCCATACCATACACATACCGAAAGATACATTCATCCATGGTGGGGGCAATTACCCGAACTGCTCTGAAATTGCCAATAATGAGACATGCAACTTGTGCGCTTAGCCTTTGTAATGGATTGCCGTGGATTGGTATCAATTGCAGGTCAATTCCTCTGGAGCTCTGTGCTGCTCCGATGCCGTGGTGCTGGGGAATTTCACGCGCCGACAAGATAATCGTCGGGATTCCCTAGTTTGCTCTGGGCAACAACCAAAACCGAAACCGAAACCCCAACTTAAGGATCGTGCAATGCAGACAGCGAGACTCCAGACCCAAGACACAGACAGACAGCAGGACCGGTCCGAATGAAAATTGCTGCTGCTGCCTGTGCCAGAGTCGAGAGTCGCTGCAAATGACAAATTAGATATCGAAAATAACAATTTGATCGACAACCGATCGCCACTGCTCCACAGAAAGAGCTACAGCTACAGCTTCAAGCCCAGCTACAGCTACAGCTACAGCTCCAACTCCAGACGGGATCCAGCTACAGCTCTAACTTCATCTCCATCTTCAGTGCGAAATTGAGAAACGATCTGCAAGTGCAGAGCAACTAGCACAGCCAGAGAGAGAGAGAGAGAAAAATTACCAAACTTCAAATTGGTTGAGGCTCTGAAATAAGGAAGGCATTTTGCGGTTTCAGCGTGGCCAAAGGAGTTGATGAAGGTGTTGATTTGATTACTTTTATGTAAGCCCCCAGTCCCGAAATGGAGGCCTCGTCCAAGATCCAAGTTTTGCCTACCGCCAACCTCTCACCCCCCTAGGAATCGTGATCGGGGCAATTTCAGTTGGAGGATGGTTTTCGGATGGCATCAATTGAAGCCGCCGAGTGGGTCTGGTCGAATATCTAAATGTGAAAAATGATTTGACTTTAATGGCGAGCCACTGGACTGATCAGCGATCTGCGAGCTGTGATCATCATCATCTCATCTTATACGATCCGTTCCGAGATGATCATCCCTCCCCATCATCAGTCTCATCCGTAGCCTTGGCGAAGGTGTTAAGATTTTGTGACCAATTGAGCAACAAGGTAACGGTTGCAACTATTTCTTGGCTCTAGGCACATGATTGATTCGCTGCATTTGCATTCGCATTCGCACTTGGATCGTCGGCAGGGATTTCCCTCTCTTTCTTGCGGTGGGAGAACGTGGGAATATGGCTTGAAAAATCGCTGGGCAATTGCCTTGCAGGAGGTGTGTCCGTGAACCATATTCCGTACCGCAAATTGTTGTCTTTATGTTGCTGTAAATAAGCTATGGAAAATTGTGCGGAAAATTGTTGCAAGAAATGCTATTAAATTATTTACACTACACTGCCACATGGAGTGGAGTGGAACCAATTTAATAGATTTTCGAGTGCTAGTTGCAGTTGTGTAATGGGGAATTATGGGAATTATTATATGTTATAGAAATAGATTTGAAGGCAGGTCTACAGAGATACACAGCAAGATTATTGTGGTATCTGGAAGTATCTTTTATGCCAAAAAGCTTTTGTTAATATTTGATTTAAATTCCTTTCCTCCTTCTATCACTCCTTCCTTTCACAAACATAAACACAACCCAAGAAAAGAAGAATAATTATATAAGCTTCCAGTGGAAGCTGCTCAGTCTCCTTATATGTAAGTATGTCCACGTCTTACATGTGGCATAATCCGGGTCTTGGGTCCCGGGCTGCACTGCACACACACAAAAAGACCAAGCCGTCACAAAGACCCTAAGATATTAGGGGGCATTTTTCAATCCTTTGATGATGGTCAAAATAAAAAATTATTTCGCGCGTTAATACGCAAAAATAACCAACCAGTTGGGTGGCACATGGAAATGCCATGGCTCCATGGTCCACGTTCCACGGTCCAGGGTCCAGGCGGGTGGCAACCCCCGCACTTGCATTCGCAATCCCCTCGTCCAGCATGTAACAAAAACCGGAATTTGTGGACCAGGAAGGTGTTGTTGGCTGAGAAATTATGATGGGAGACTGCGCCGGCGCAGAGTCTCTCCCTCTCCCGCGTCCAGTCACCACTTTCCGTCTTGCACTTCCCGTCTCCATATCCCCATCTTTCCTCAATTGCAATGCGAATTTGTGACTCGTTATGAACGCGTGGCACTGTCTGGGGGTCAGAAGATTGCCCAGAGGAGGAGTGTCGCTGGTCGGGAGATTGGCCAGAGGAGGAGTGTGGTCTGGAGGTGCACTCTGGGTGGTCCATTGGTCTCCTCTTAAGATGCAAAATACTTTTGACAATTTGTACTTGTTGCCCCGTGCTGCCGTGCGTTATAAATTATCCAAATAGAAATAGCCTTCGATTCAGCAATAGGTGCATGTTAAGCGTAGCTTTTTTTGAGTACCCTTAAATAGGGGGTTCTACGAAAAGTACAAGCCAAATCCATGTATCGAAAATGTTCTAGCAGCCACCTTTCAAATAATTTTATATTGAATATCCGAGTGAGAATAGTGAGTGAAAAGTTAAGCAAATCTGATGATAAAATTACATGGTTTTAGTGGTAAGAAAACATTCGCTGGATCTACAAGTGTATCTCAATCTTCGGCATTTAAAACCATCCTTCCTTTCTAGTTTTCGAGTGTGGCTGACAGTGAGGCTAAATTATTTGGCATGCGGTGTGAAATATGTGTAATTGGAAAACACATTCCAATTGCCTAATTTATGACTTGTGCGAAATTGCTGGATATTTATTATGTCCCTAGACAACGGCGGGTCAAACATTGTCCTGGGGTTCGGCCATGGATGGGGTATGGGGGGTCACCATTCATTTGTTACCTTTTGCTAATTAAATTATGACAAAAGGAGACAAGCCCCCGAGGAAACCAGGAACGGGCACCAGAAGAAAGGGTGAAGACACATGTCCAAAAATGTTCATCCGTATTCAATTTCATTTTATGTAAATGCTCTCGTAATGTGACAAAAGGATACGATACACTCATTTCCCTGACAGATATGCTGAAAGTTCCATTTCAAAACATGGCCAGCGAATTGAAAGGTTGGTTTGGCTGTTGGGGACGTACGTTGCTAATGAAATTGGACACCCAACATCGTCAGGATTCCGAGGAGAGATGTACGCCAGATACTGGCCCGAAATTATGCAAATCAGAGATGGAGATGGAGACGGTGAATGCATATGCAAAATGTTTAACCCTTAATTGGCCCATAAGGCGGGCGACATTTTGTGGTGGCTGCTGCTGCTGCCTCACTCACCTATCGCCTGACATCGATAGCCATCGCCACAGATATATATCCCAGATACACCATACTCTGACTCTGAGAGACAGACAGCCCACGGGCAGGCAGCACAAGTCGAGGTAACTTTTTCAATTACCCCATACAAAAAAAAAATGCAAAACAAACTGGAACTGTGGTCTCGCTCTCTGATCTGGATTCGAGTCGAGTCACCCTCTCCTCTCTCTCCGGGAGTCGGGGATCTGGGCTCTGAAATCTGTTTCAGCGTTGGCGTGAATTATCTGTGCAAACAGCCAGTGACAGGCGTTGAATTGCCACAGTTCTGTGTCCACACACACCGCATCCACTGCTGTGTCCAGTGGCACTTTGTCGCAT